TTCCTACTTGCAATATGAAAATGCATTGCATTTCTATGTAGCTGGTAACAGTCAGTCAACTGCTAACAAATATGTGTTGAGACAATCAACAAAATGGCCAGTAATGCATGGTGCCACATACACATGCAGATTGCCTTCTGTCTTGTCGACAGGTTGCCTCACATTTGTCTACCTGCTTAAGCGAACAAATAGAAGACAGACAGCCCACTGAGCATACTCGCCGCTGCAAGCAAAGTGTAACAGTTGCCACACCAAACACACCACAACAACAGTTGCTGCTTCCATTAACGCTTCTGCTTCTGCAACGGTCACTGTTGTCAGATGCGGCTATTGGCGTGTTGCTTATTGACTTGCGTAATGAATCACTACATGTCGCACGAATTAATCGCACGAGCAACAGCAAAAACAATAGTAGCGGCAACACCAACTACCAACATGCAACATGCCATATGCAACGTGAGCAACCACTCCTTTTTGTAATGTTACACAAAAGTACACATTTACAGCAATCACCATTGTTGTTCTTGTGCCTTAACTGCATTCTTCACGCACACAGGTGCACACACAGGGACAATGTTGCGCTTACCTATGTTGCGAGTAAAGTACTGCTGTTGTTGCTATTAATGGCTAAGGTGTTGCACATGCTTGTAGCTCATTTCACACCTTTACTTCAACACATATTCGGTGCTTGTGCTTTGAGCTGCGCTTTGTGTTAGGCCCCACTAGTTGTCCGCCTCGAATGAGCCTCTGTGTCGCAGGCAGCTGTTTGTCTTACGGATTCCACATGGCGTGCATCTCAAAAGATGACAAACACTCCGGCGTGTGTGTGTGTGTGTGTGAGTGTCGTGCATAAAAGTATGTGTGTTGAAATAGCTCTTACGCTATTTGTGTTGAAAGGGCGCACAGGGCGTATGAAGTTGCCACAATCATCGCAGAAAGCAAATTTAAATTGCGCGTTGAGTTGTTTGTCCGGTCAACATTGACAAAACCATTGGTCGTCTGGTGAGCCGTTGTTTACCGTCTATACTATTGACTTGCTAAATATGCAGTTTCACACATACATACATACATATGCACTTAACTGTGTGTGTGTTGGCTATTGTTGGCGTGCTGTGCTTGTAATTGCTTCTTGTTTGCACTTTCGGCTCTTTGTTAATGGAAGCGTGAAAATACAATTAAATGCCTTGTTAGCCCAGTTAATATGGTGTTTTGCTATTGGCTTTGCATTAATATGAACATCACCATATGTATACATATGTAGTATATACATGGGCGTATACATTTGGTTAAAGTAAAATTTATCTATATTTATATAACATATAAGCATTATAACTTTATTTGCTATTCATATTAGTATATATGTATATCTAGAGGAATATAATACTATACAAGGAAAGAAGCACACAAAAATATCTTCTTAAAAATATATGCCTCTAAATTGGTCTTGTTTTACTTATAGGTTAGGACACGGCTTGGACACATTTTTGGTTTAATTGCACTAAAATTTCCTGGTTATTTTTTTTTGATGTTGAATATTTTACCTAAACCTCCGAGCCTTGGTGTACAGGGCATTTCTAGAAAAATTAATTTGTGTCTACCAAAAATACCATATTGTTTGATTATGGTCTCATTCACTGGTGGCAGTGCTGTATTGACTACTATAAACTTATACGGTTTACTCAATTTGATCGAAATAATATATTTCTGAATTCAAATTAGTCCGAGAAAGTGAAGCCAAACTATTCGTTGTAAGATCACTGTAACACAGAACTTTTCCAGTTTCGATACAAAATAAAGTTGAGTTAGCGAAATAATTTGTGATAATCTTGTTAATATATTTCACAATTTTGTCTAACCGAAGGTACGAGGAAAGAGGTTTGGAGTACGAGGAATTAAGGATCGCTTTCATCCAAACTTTTGAGTGTCGTGATTTTATATATGCCTACTATAAAGGTAGATATTTTGATGGGAAAATGACGTTCGATGGAAAGTTCCCGTGGTTCTAGTCTTATAGTACTCACTCTATGATATGCCAAGATAGTAATGCGGAGATGAAGTTGTCGACTAAATTGAGCTATGACTTTTTGCATTGTAAGTGGGCAGGCGATGTGGATTGCCAAACACATCTGCAATAGCGACTTCCACATCATTTTGATATACGAGTGTATATAGCATATCCATAATCTGTGTATATTAAACTAGTCTACAGCGGTTTTGTTGCCCTTTTGTGTGTTACAAACAACGTGGCAAGAATTTTGAAATCAATACATTTGTAGACAATTTGCGAAACTTAGTAACGAAAAGTTAAAAGGCCAGATATTTGATGGTCCTCAAAAACGACAATTAATAAAAGATACAGATTATTTCAAGGTTATAACTGTTCCACAAAGTGAAACTAGGAGAAGTACCAATAAAGCACCAAATTATGAAGAAATTGTGAAAAATTTGCTATCGATATTTCAAACCATAAGAGCAAATATCAATGTCGAGTAAGACCATCTCTGCAATAATTTTGATAAAGTTTCTGTTAGTTTAGGAAATTATAGTGACGAGCGAACGGTTTCTCCAGGATCTAAAAGTTATTGAATAAAGGTATCAAAGTTGATAGGATCGTCACATGATGGCATATTATTGCTAGTCTAAAAAAAAAGGTTGTCAAATGGAAGTATATAAAATAAATGCTCACAAAGTAGTTTTTATTGAACTTTAACATAAGTTTTCGACACATGTCCCTCTGTTTACTTTGATGCATTCTTATATTTCAAAGCAAAACTGCATTATAAATATATATACATATATATAATATATGTGATCTTGTTTCATGTTTTCTGATTTGTCAATGTAACATTGAAATAAAGGTTTATAAATAAACGAGAGCTAATCTTACAAAGTCTTTGATCGTTCTATAAATTGTGTACACAAACATATTAAAAACATCACAAACTCTACAATGTGTATATAAAAGTGATCAGCGCGACGAGCTGAGTCGATTTAGCCATGTCCGTCTGTCGGTCTGAATTTACGCGAACTAGTTCCTCAGTTTTTTTAATATTGATCTGAAATTTTTGCACACGCTCTTTACTCTCTAATAAGCTGCTCATTTGGGGACACCTCCAACATCGGACCACTATAGGCTATAGCTGCCTTACAAACTGAACAATCAAAATCAAAACCTTGTAAAAAAGTTTTTTATTTGACAAGATATTTTCACGGAGTTTGCCATAGATTATTATCCAAGACAGCGCTACAATCACTAAACATATTGTTTAGATCAGACCACTATAGCATATAACTGTCATACAAACAGACCGAACATAACCAAGTTCACATATGAAAACCTTTTTTTATTTGTGAATAAAATTTCAGCTATAATATGATAATGTGATGCCAAAAGACTTTTTGCTCTAACAACAAGCAGTCTACGAGCTTGACACCAATCATTAGCATTATTGAGCCGGCTAATTGCAGCCTAAACCAATTGCCGCATAAACCAGAAAATAATTACGCGCATATTTTAAATAAATGCAAAATTTTATTTCAGCAGATCAATGGCGGCAAAACGCTAAATTGTTCAACAGAATAAAATATCAGCAATGTGTAGCAATAAAATAAAATAAGGTCGAACCTTGGCACTTACGTCGCTACCATGCCAAACAGTGACGAGACACCGCGAGCCTCAGAAGTAGCCTAAGCTCGCTAGTACGTTCATGGTGCGGTAAGCTGCATCAACACAAAACAGTAATGGCGTACTAAGCCAATTTTGTTTTGTCAAGCAGCCATTAAATAACAACACAAACAAAGATACAAATGGCCAGCCGACCAACCAGCCAATTCGAGACGTTAAACCGTGCATTGACGGCTTGCCGTGTCGCCGCTCTTTGTTGCGGTTTGTTTCTATGTGTATGAGCATATTCTTACGCAGTTATGCACTTGTAGGCAAAACAACATCCGCCAGAGTCATCTTCCATATCCTCGCGAGCATCGATGCATCGAACCGACAAATGCAGTGACTTGTCGTTTACATACTTGTGTGCAACAAATGTTTGCCGTGTAACGAACGCTTGTTTTATGGGGTCCATACCTGCGCACAACAACAAATATTATGCGTAGAAATTGGCAAACAAAAGTTTTGTGTTCCGACAACAAGTGAGTGCAGGATTCGCTGCAAGCGACGGGGCAACGGTGCGTCAATGTGCGCATAAAAGATAAATTAAAACTTGTTTATCATGTCGGCGGCGCGTATCTTTAAATGCGGTAAAACGCTACCTCGATAACGAAAAACAACGGCAAATTGTAATATAATAAAAAGGCGACGTTGCCAATAAAAGCTACGAAATATTGCAAAAGTAACTGTTTAGCTTGTAACCGAGCCCGCTTGTTGGTGTGCATCTTTAGAAATAACAAACATATAGTACATACCATACAGATGTGTATACATCCACACATACATATATACATATGTAAAAGCTACTTACATGCGCGGTGCACTGCCCGTGACTTCTCGTGGCTTACCGTGGCACCAGCCGATACAAAATCGAAAAATTTTAACACGAGCTTCTTAAGTATTTAATCGAATATTTTTTTCTCTCCGATAAATATTTTGGTTTTTATATTGATAAAGAATTTCGGTGAAAAATCGATTTTTTTTTTTCAGAAACCGCTATTTAGTCAAAAAATTTTATTTTGCTTATTCCTTCGATTAAATACTACAATAGATTTAACATTACTTTAACGAAATCTGTTTGGTTTTTTTAATTTCAGATGATCCAGTTCAGAGATATAGTGGTCACCGCAAAACGTCTTATTTGAGAGGAGCTTCCGGAGATCAGCTGTAGCTCTTTTCCAAATAAATATTTTTACTCTTACTAAGTCTTAAAATATAGTTTAAAGATATCATAATATGTGTATTTTGGATCAATAAATTTAAAAGTTTTCTCAGAGAAACTTCTGGAAAATTTACGTCTTTCGGTCTTTTAACTGTATATAACCCCTTTTTTGATTTTTATAGTGATTAAAGGAATCTTTTCATTTCGATACAATTTTGATTACGGAATTTATTTTTTTTAACAAAATTGGTCTCAATACCGGCGGTAACCTCTACAATATCGTTAAACTTCCCTTTAGCAAGCTTCCTTGAGGATTGTGGATAGAAAATGTCACTGGTGGCCAGATCGCAGATTACGGTGGTACGAATGCAATTCGAAGACCAATTCGTAAAATTTTATCATCGTTTTCTTACAGAAACCAAACCAGTACAGGAAGTGCGTTAGCCGCTAAAATTGATAGTTAATGAAATTTTTGAAAGGGCTGACAGACGGATCAGCGTGAGATGGAATGGATCATGTGTAAGAACCACAAAGAAAAAATCGATTTTTTTTTTACTCATACGGTCTCGAAATAACGGCAGGACGGTTGTTGGCTTAATGGCAGGTCAGAACTTACTGGCAGCACATGCGAGACAAATGGACATTAGTAACGACAATACATGAAGAACGAGCATGTCCGATGACTCTGTCCAGCTTTATATATCTAGGCGCTTTTCAAGGGGTAGCTGAATTATCAAAATTAGATATAAAGTCGCTCTAAAAGTTTCCATAAAAGCGTTAACGTCCTATATGATGAATACTTCCGCTCAAATTAAACTGAACCTACATCTGGCATTACTATGTTATGTAAGTTATGTATGGCGTGACAGCCGACCTGTATAATATAACTCAACTTAGCCTATACCAAGGCATTCCGAAATATATACATCAAAACTTTTCGAATTCACTGTTACATATTTTCACGCTTTTTCTTTGGCTCGTCTTATGCAGCCCAAGGTGGGGAGTTCCGTAAATGCGTTACACCTCTTCACTTCTGTGGAAAAGGGGTTAAAACTGTGGATAAAGTGTACGAGCAGGATGTTTTAGAAGACGTGATAAAGTAGTTAAACAATAGTCTCTTCGATGGAGAGCATTGGATCTTCAAACAATGTTCTGCTCCAGCACATAAGGCAGCAATATTCCTTGCTACAGATTATTGGACGTCTGGAAGTCCAGGTTTGCATCCATTCGACTACAGCTTGTGGTCAGAGTTGGAGAACATGCCGTGTCGAACACCCCACCGAAATTTGGAGAGTCTTAAAAAAACTTTGGTTTGAGCAGCGTCGTCAATACCAATAGAAACTAAGCGTGTTGCTATTGATTAATGGCCGAACCATTCGAGGTTTTGTATGAAAGTAAAAAGTGACATTTTCGAATAAAATTTTGTATACAACTCATTTAATATGCGCGCTATTGCATAAAATTAACTATATTAAAAAAAACAGTTTCATATTTATTAACGGCCCGAGCTTGTAACAGAACTTATGGCTGTAGTAAGTAAAATTCCTTCTGTAGCTCAAAACAAGCGACAGTAATATCAAAGAACCAAACGACACAAGAAGACCTGTGTTTGCAGGGCGATACTTAAGCCACTCCTCATTGCTGTGAGCAAGCCGACAAACAAGCGATTTACCTGTGTTGCAGCGCCAACAACCCGTACGACACCTTCCTGCCCCCCCCATACGAGTCGAACGCGCTGCTTTTACGGCCAAAGCTTCGTTACGTTGTTGTTGCAGTCATTAAAATGTTGGTGTAGTTTTTGTTGTTTTCGTTGCTGCTGTGCTTGTGCTTAAAGCGATTAAGCAGCGGCTAAACATGGAAAATTGTTGTAATTATAGACGACTTATCGAGCAGCAGATACGCGTGGCACGTCAAAGCCCCAGCAATGCTTTGCACGCCGCCGCCTTGAGTTGGCGCAATAAAGTTGGTGTGGTGGAGACGTTGAGCACCAGCACCAACCTGCCAGTGCTATCAAATTGCAATGAAATGAATGGACTTTTGACTTTGCTGCACAACGCTTTGCTATCGCTGAATGCCAACTTGTTGTACCACCACCACCACCATCAGCACCATCATTTCGTGTATCGGCAGCAACCGATGGACATGGCGGCAACAAGACCAAAGTTGCGTGTGCAACAACAATAAAATAACAGTTGCATTAGAAACAAACAGTTTCGCCTTGTAATAGAGCGGCAAGCGCAGCAACAATAATGACAAAAACCAACAACAACAAAAACAAGAAGTTTGCAATGACTTGTTTTGCGGTTGTTATTGTTTTGTTTTTGTTGTGCATGTTGCTGTTACGCTGATATTGCATGTTGCAAATCGCTCGTGTGTATGTGTGTGTGTGTGTGGGAATACCAGTGTGTTGTTGCTGTTTGTGGTGTTGTAGTAAAAATTTATCGCATTCCGGTCTGTTTGGCTTGTTGGGCTGATGCGTTGTGGCAGATGCGAACGAGCGAGCGAATGCGTGTGTAGCTGCAAAAACAACCAGCAAGCCTATTTTGTATTTGGTTACAATAACTGCCAAAACAACAACAACAAAAGTAGTGTTATTAATTTGCATTTATTTTTGTTGTTTGTGCTGTTGTCTTTTAATGTAATATCAGTTGCCGGTGCAAATGCTTCAGTGCACACTGACATTCCCGCCGCCTTTAGTCGCTCTCCTCTCAACTCGCCTAACTCATTCCACTCATTACTTTATGCTTGTTGGTTGCTGTTGTAAGAATTATAAATTGCTCAGCCGATCAGCGCGACAATTCGAATTGAAATGGGAATACTATCGGGCTTCTTATCGCCAGCTTTGGTCGCTAAAGCTCAGCGGCTCGCAGCTGGAAGGCGCAGTCCACCGTTGCTCAACTGAGCAGTCTGCAACTTGTCCGCTTGTGTTTCGTGTGCATTGGCTTGCACTGAATGTGCAACATTTAATGGGAAAAAGCTGTGAATTACTGCCGTTGTGTTGCAATGTTGCAATTACACGCTTTGAATGTCGACTGCTGCACACGCGCTGATATGAAATCGTCGCGACGCTTCGCTTGTTATTAAAGTCATCAATGTAATATCTCAAACAACACAAACCACTAAAAGTGCCGCCTGGCATTGGTAAACTTTAGCTTAACTATTACGGAAGGAAAGTGCAAATCAAGATGTATTTTATCAGGTTTATAGTTACGTATTATCTTCCGGTTCGTTCTTAAATTGCTGAATTACAATCGGTAAATAGGTAATAGGTAAAACAAATAAGTAAGGGCTAAATACGGGTAAAACCGAAACATTTTATACCCCCGCAATTTGCACGAAACCAAAGGACTTTCAGATGTTGCGAAACTTTGTATTAAAAAAATGTTCAATATAAAAATTCAGCACTCATTATGCGACGAAATTGTGAAAGTGTTACAATAGCTGGTATCTTATTAACTTAAATTATAGGTCATCGACCCACTTACTTTTATTACTATATTTTGCTTCGCTACGCAGATATTTATAATAAAATATCAAATGAGATATATGTGATATAAACTCAACCGAAAAGGCCAGATTTAATATAGTAGGTAAATAAGGGAAACATCAATCAGAGGATCTAAAAGCTGCATCCACATATTACGAATCTAGGGGCTTGAAAAGTTTGTGGCTGATTTTGATAATTTTTAGATATGAAATATGGCATACCTTAATGGCACTATTTGTGCAAAGTCTTGTTTCGATAACGGCATTGGCTCTTGATAAACCATATATGCTGTAAAGTGAAAGGACCAAAAGAAATTTAAAATTATAGACGTGTTTGTAATACTATTTCATAGTTCCTGAAAAATATAATTTTTAAAATGTGGGTGGTACCACGCCAATTATTAAGTATTTATAGCGCCTTCTATGAAGCCCGGAATGCCATCTAGGTTGTAAAATTTAACGTCTCTTAAATATTTAGTTATTGAGTTATAGCTCTTTCAGCAGTTTACACCCAAACCTTTATATAGACATTTGGGGTCATCATCTGATTTCTTCCATTTTCACACTGTCGGAGGAGGTCCCATAAAAATTTGACCCAAACAAATTTAGTTGATACAGCTTTAGTGAGCATGTTCACTCATAGTTCCAATAAAATCTAATACAACTCTATCCGAAAGACCAAACTGAAAAGTTTTGGTAATAGGAAAATAGGTGCGAATACTAACCAAGAAACAATTTTGTTCTGCATATATTTTAATTTAACTGGAGTTTTGTAATTTTTTATGGCAAAAAATTGCTGTGTATATTGATAAAACGACTTGAACCCATCACAAATAAGGTAGTGAGTGTAAAAGTATTTAATGATGTCTCTTACAAAAGCGATACATTCGGGAGCTTATGATGAGTTCAATATTTTAGAAAGTTTCAACAGTTATTATTAAAGCTTTAGCCTTACCGAATAACTGAGAATTGGACAACGAACAGTCAAAACCCATAAATATTCTGCTATGGCCAAGCTCCCATATAACATAAGTACATATGTTATAGAAAGTAACAACAGCAAGTTTAAATAATCTTACCTGAAAGGGTATACTTCGAGGGAGGTAAATGAATGGTTCCTTAATGAAAAGTCTAAGACTAAATGTAATATAGACTCCACGAAAGTGGATTCCTTATCTATTTACGATTTGATCCATTTAACCTGCGCGCGAAAGCCAAAACTCGCTGAAGGCATGGAAGGCTATTCCAGCCGAGGCTTATAACAAGTATTTGATTAAGCTTCGGAATGCTTGTATTGGCTCAGGAGCCCATTTTGAAGGCGAGAACTAAGATTTATAACAAAATACGTGAAAAGGTTGTTAGATGGTAAGTTTCCAATATATGAAAAGACATAGACAATCCCCCTTATGAGGAGGTTAATAAGCTCCATTAAGAAAATAAAAGTTTTGAAGTTTTTATATCAGTTTGAATAGGACTAATTCAGTCCTACCTGTACAAACAATTTTTATCTATTATTCCTAAAATCACTAACAGTATCTACGAGACTTGAAGTGTTCCAAATGACTTTGTTATGATTGGAAGTTCCGTTGTTTCATAATATCACAATTTTACCTCTGGATATACATATATTTACATAGTTTTAGCTGGTGATATAATTGATTTTGAGCTCATATAAAGAAATAATTTTTAAAGTGTGTCGTTCTATAATGCTTTTAAGACGACTTGAGCTGTAAAAACGTTAACTTCGGTTGCACAGAAACTGCAAAACAAATACAAAAGATTCCTTACAAGAACTTGATTTCGATCGTTCAGTTTGTAAGGCAGCTATATGCTATAGTAGTTTGATATTAGCGGTTCCGACAAATGAGCAGCTTCTTGGGAAGAAAGGGATGTGAGCAACACTTTAGGTCGATATATCAAAAACTGAGGTACTAAATACCATAAGTACTCGCATATATACAGATAGACATACATTTTAGAGAATTTCCAACGTTTTCTTCTGGGGGAACAAAGGTTTAGGCAGAATTAATATTCTATACAGGTTGGTTGAAAATTTTCTGCGCTCGAAAATATTGATTTTGGTACGAAATATATTTTTTTATTCAATACAATCTCTCTTAACTTAAATACACTTATTTCAATGATCGTCCAATAATTTTATGCCATCCCTATAATGACTTTTCGGAAGCTCTGCAAAAATTGTTTCAGATTTCTGAGGATGTAGTAGTCACTGAGAGTCAATTCTGGTGAATACGGTGGATGCTCAAGCAATTCGTACTTAATGAAAAATGATTTTTTTGTACTGCAAACCAGATCTTATTTCACAATTTTTTTTCAATAATATTTAGTGTTAATGGTTTCACCTTTCTACAGATAATCAATCAACACAATTCCTTTTGTATACCAAAAAACTCATGCCATAACCTTCTTTGCTCATCGTTGTGACTTCGCCTGCTTTGGAGCTGAGCAACCAGCTTCTGTCCACTGCAAACGTTCCTGTTTCAATTTAGAATCATGGTGGTAGATCCTAGTCTCATCTATAGTTGAAAAACGACGCTAGAATTGTATTTTGTGCAGCTTAAAACGCTCCAAATTATGCCGAGAAATTTGTTTTCGATCCAGATTTTGTTGAACGTGTGCGGCACTAATTTTTCGAACAGCTTTTTATATGTAATTCTCCATGTAAAATATGAAGTACTCGTTCGTCTGAGTTGCCTATGGCATTAGCAAGTTCACGCTTAGTCAAACTGGGATCCTCACTAACAATATTATGAATTTGCTCAATGATTTCGGGTGTGGTTGCGGTTTTTGGTCATCCTTCGCGTGTATCGTTTTTAAATTCACTAATTGACAGAATGACTTGTAACTTTGCATGTGTGTTCTCACAACAAATGTACCAACTTGAGAAAAAAAATTTGGA